TAGTGAGAGAGACTGCTTGAGCAGAGGAAGGGATGGTAACTGTGTCTGTCTTTCAATTATTGGCCTGCTAGAGCAAGCTGAAGCAAAATAATGATAATGAAACAAAACAACCCAGCTGACCTTGTTAAATTCTAATGAATAATGAACAAGACATGCTTTGAAACTGGTTGGGAGACCATGTAAAATTAGGTAGAAGCTACCGGAAAATGGGAAGTTTAAAATCTTATTTAAAATTTAAATCTTTTAGCAATAATATAAAGAAAAATTAACATTGAAAATGAACAGTTAACATATGTGTGTCTAGTATGAGTGCGTATGATGGTGACAGCACTTTATGTCTTGTATGTATTAGTTTGGGGTACTATTATTTCCTGATTTTGAGGATATTGTGTCATTAACCTCTGGAATTAGTGTTTTATCATTACAGATGGGTTAAGTGAAATGACCAACTTTAGAAAAGTTGATAATTCTAAGTCAATCTGATGAAAAGACAATGCAGAACATGGGACGAGCTTTAATTGGAGTGGTTTTCCAGCTCTGTCTGCTATTGGTAATTATGAATGCTTTTGTCATTTATGATATTGAACTGAATTACTCTCTGGATTAGTATTTTATATAAATTGGAATTGTAAAGAAGATTGCCGTCCATTATGGGGTAAAACTCTTGTCTAAATTCAACTGAGGGTCTAAATTTAAATAGACAACTAGGTGGGATCATAAGGATAAACGTAGGAAAAAATATATATATATATAGACTTGACGGCAGAGAGACAAAGTGACACATTGGCTAAGTCACTATCCAAATTATCCAGAGTGAGCTCCCTCATTTTTATTGAAAGGCCGGAGGGCGAACAAAGAAGGAGTGAATATAACTTCTAAAAAGAAAAGGTTTTATTTCTCAATCCCTTAAATGTATGTATGACATTAGATGTCTAAGAAAACTACAATTTAATAAAGGTAAAAAGAGAAAGCAGCTATATGGCTGTGGGCTGGGATCTGAGTAACATAATATTTTGGTTTCTGTAAAACTGTAAAGATAAGTGGAACTGAGACAAATACTGTGAGAAGTAGTTATAATGAAAAATAAAGTTGAAGTTAATGATAAGAAAACAAGAGTATTGAAGAATTAATAAAATACCATGATTCCCCTAACGAGGGAACTTTAAGTGTCACTAGGCTGACAGTGGTGAGAGACTCGGATGCAGAAGGAACTGGCATTTAGGGCAAGATGGAAGAAATATAGTACAAGAAAATGTATGTAATGAAAATACAATTTCTGATAGGATTTATGGAAGTCAAATTAAGTTTAAATGGTATGAAAAAGGTTAGGGTTAGACATTGTATGATTGACAGGGATTCAAGTGATATAAAGATAAGGAATAAACAAAAGCTTTATTAAGCAGAATGGGGAACGATCCTATATTTAAGTGGTAAAATAATGACTGAAATGATGATGTGAATTTGTTTTATTTTATTTCTATTTTTGAAACAAACAAAAAAGGGTATAAGATGTTATACAATTAAAATGGTACATGCTATGTGACTGTAAACTGAAGGATGATTTCAGTAAAGACTTAAAGTGCTTACATCGATTATTATGGGTCTTAATTATTAATATTTTATTGTTTGTTGTTTATTTTTAGTTAGACAACCATTGTGTTTTAAACCTAAAGGGTCTATAAAAGGGGTAGTGAAAATAATGGATTAACCATCCAACTTTGTTTATAATAAATGGATTTGGAAATCATAATTTTATAAATAAATAAAAAACTAGTGCATATATTCTGGTATTCATGATTATAGACAATGTCTTTATTTAGGATCTGAGTAGTGACTGTGGATCTAGCCCATGCTAGTAGGAATACAGCAATAGTGCTTGCTTATTTAGCCTGGCTTCCAATATGTACTTGTTTCGTAATCAGTTATGTGTTTTATAAAAATTTTAACCTGACTGATAAACTGAGGAAGAATGACATTGATGTCCTGTTGTGAGTGGAAGGTGGGAGAGCCTCTTAATGGGGACTGGAATTTTTAGTATCCAGCATGTCCATGACGAGGTGAAGAGACAAGTGTGACCCATCAGGGGAGCATGCGTCACCACTCCTCCCTTCCGTAGTGACCTCACTGGTTAGACCAGACGTGGCGGTATTGGACCCCACATTGGTCTAAAACGGGGGACTGAAGGGTTGGTCAAAATCCCTTGCCTCTTCAAATACATATATAATCATATGTCATTTTGAATGGTTATATACTTCCTTTATAAAAATCAATAATCAAATATATTCATTATCACATAATAATTTTTATATTCTTGTGCTTGTGAAATTATATTTTCTTAAATGCATGGATGCAAGTAACCAGTTTCTTTTAGGTGCATCCCAATCTTACTTTGAGATTGCACGTAGTACACGCAGGACACGAAGGCCACGTAACCCACAAGGCCGTTTGTCTCTTTCTCTGGGATCAGTAGAAAGGTTAGAGGGTCCTAAAGGCAGCGTGGGCACATATGATTCTTCGCTGGACATATAGTCAAGCTATATTGAGCGTTACTATCAAACTTTAATTGTTGTATTAAAATGTATTCTTTCCAGTATATTTCCTTCCTTGGGAGTAAATGCCAGTGATCTGTTTTTCTCCCAAACGAGTGAATGTTTTAGCATTATGTTTTGGTATACTTAACTGATAATAAGGAGCTCAGACTCTCTTCAGCCTTGATGGGAGCTGTTATTTGCTAGTGTCTGTTATTTGTGTGTGTGTGCGTATGACATTCTATGTAGGTTCTGGACGTTCGGACCAGACACCCCGGCGCCCTTCTCTAACCTGCGAGGCCACCACAGACCTAAATCCAATGAGTGGACGACAACTATCCTTACTAATGGCGATAGGCACCCCTATCTCCTCACATGTGTTAAATTGTTTAGGCTTTCATGTTTCTTAGCCAATGAGAATCATTCAACCTGTAAGCAATGACGTAGCTTAGACCTTGGAAATGGTATAACTGCTGTGATCTTTGTAACTGTAAGGGGGGCGGCCTACGAACTCCTGTGTGAGTCTTGAAGCTGACTTCTGCTGATGAAAATGCAAACTATCTTCAGTAAAACTTTTCTTTAATTTTTTATAATTCTGACTCCGGGTCTTCATTCTTCATATCTGGTTCTGGGTCTTTGACTGTATACCCCTTACAAAATTATGTGAGAAGAAAGACTGGAATGATATGAAACACCAATACAAAGGAAATCAGCAGCTAGTGTTCCAGATAGCTGAATAACAAACATAATATAGACAATAAGAGATATGATGACAACCAAACAAACAAGTGGTTATCCTTTAGTTAGTTGCAAAATCATCTGGCACCCAACATGTACCTAATTTTAGTGATTTTCCCAGACAACATTTCATGGGTATTTGAGCACCAAATGGATTTATCTATGTTTTTCACCTTGGCCCAGTCTGCATTAGCCCCAGTATGGGCCCCAAAGGGGTTTATCTATGTGTTCCATGTTGGCCCGGTCTGAATTAGCGCCAGTATTTGGGTTTCAGAGCCAGTCAGAGTAGCTTTATTATATAGCCTGTACACTATGATTTCCATGTTGGTCATTTCTGAATTGGCCCCCAAACACATTGGGGCCCATATCTCAAACCCTTACCATGCCTACATTGGCCACACCATGTAATGTTGGCTTAGAACTCATAAGAAAGACAACATTGAATTATTTAAAAAAAAGAAAGTCTTTATTCTTCAGCGAGTGTGGAGTACATTCACTGGTTCTCTTAACAGTACTCTTTGGCTCCACTGATGACATCATCACGCAACCACTTATGATACAACCACCTGTTAAACCCACACATATCAGCATCAACAGGGCAGCTACATTTCAGCCACCTGGAATGAGAAGCCTTTACAGTACTGCACATACTACAGGCTTTTAATGGAGTGAAGTTAGTCACGCAGAACACAAGTGTGAATTGAAATAATACATCCATGATTTAGAACACATCTTGAGCACTAACGGACAGAACAGAAATGATAGACAGAGATAATAATGCAGACTACAAGTACCAAACACCCTATTAAAATGATGGCAAGAAAAAAAAAGTAATGTTCATCTTTGTTCGGATTTACCCGCACACAGATCAAATGGGAGTCAAAGTGAAGTGATTTCTACAGAAATATGCTATTATGGCGACTTTCTTTTCGTCATTGTGACAAACATTTGGTCAACATACAGTACACTGGCGAATGTCTCGCACCCTGTCGCCTGGTACTTTCCTTCTGCTGGTGTGTTTAGGTTGTACATTTATAAAACATTTCCATAAAAAAGGAAATTAAGAATAAAGCTATTCATTTCAACTACTAGTTACAGTTAAACATTCACCAGTAAATTGTATTAACAGAATATTTTGCCAGATTCCTCCTCCACATAATTCCCTACCTTTAGAAAATGGCAGGCATTTCATAGTTGTGCTCTCATCTCCAATAACATGCATAGAAAAAAAAAACAGAAAAAAAAACCTAACCAGATCTCAGAGGTACGCTTTTAAAAAGGAAACAAAATTGTATACTTCATTTCTGTATTTTTTTTTTTACAAAAAAAAAAAAAGGATATGCAAACAGTATTTTTTTTCATACACAAATTCTTTAAGCAAACAAAAAAAAGAAGATTCTAAGAAAAACAGAGAAACTCCAGAGTTTTTGTGACATCTAACATGTTCCTACACCACATTGCATTATTCTAGTTTAAATTAAAAAAAATAAAAAAATCCAAAATTCTCACTTCCAGTCTGAATTCATGTTCTAATCTATGGCTTTCTTCTGAAACTGATCAAAACGGAACCTGTACACCTCTTGACCACAGATAGTTGCTTATCAACCAGCACTCTCTCACCAACAGGTTTCCACCGCCTTGTGTGAACAGCCTTGGAGCTTTAAGACAAAAGACAAAACTTGCTAGTGTTCCTGTCTGATCAACTTTACCCCAAAGAGGAAGCAGCAAAACATAATGGTGTCTGCATAAAGACAAAGATGTCAGAGCTCTTAACTGCCAGACTTCCTACACCTTTCTTTTGGCTCCTCTAACAGCAAGAGTTCAGTGAAGATATCAGCACCTGTTAGATGGGCCAACATCTGAGGAGCCTGAGGTGTTTTAAAGGGAATCAGCACGTACAAGGTATTTCAGAGCGGCATAATGGAACAGCATGCCACCTAAAACTTATTATTTGGTGTGTTGATAAGACAGTAAAGGATGCAGAGGTTCTGAAGGTACTTTGGCTTTTTAAGAGATATTTTGCATGAAAAAGGTGTTGAGAGAAATCTGTGTTTTAAATTAGGAGCATAAAATCAGAACTATCAGGGCATGTATAATAATAATAAGATTATTTTAAAAGGCCTGACTTTTTGTATATATAGGAGTAAAGAAGAAAAAAAAAACATTTAAAAAATGTCGGACCAGCATCTAATAAATAATTGTTCAAGCATTTTTCCATCTAAATGTGCATAAGTTTTGGCAGACTCTTTTCATAAAGAGCTGGGCTTAGAGGAGGGCCAAAAAGCATGTAGTCTTTGTCCTGTCTTGATTTAAACCGGCATCTCTCCCATGGTCACTGCGTAGATGCAGAGACTGATTTAGTGAGATCAGGCAGGTAGGGAAGGAAAGTTTCTTGAAATACTGTGCAAATCTACATGGCGGACTCCTTGTCACAGGGTTTAGGTCCAGCGACCTCTTCCAGTTCAAAGTTTCCCTGTTTCTCGATGAGTGGAGAGCTTTCTGGCTTGGAGGCGGGGTCTTCTTCCTCCACTCGCACCTTACTTAGCTCCGCCCCCTCCTTTTTACTGGTGCGATCCACGAAAAACTGCAGAAGACCTGCTCCGTAGGCGTCACCTTCCACATTGATGACGGTGCAAGTGCGATCGCTAAATGAAGGGGAAAAAAGGCAATTATCCTCATGGGTTCAAAAATGAGAATGAGGATGCAATAATATAATAATGTCTTTTAATGCAAACAATTCTTTTTCTCCTCCCTATCGCTTTCCCACACCAACTTTCTCTTTAACTAAAGGTGCTCTGATTGATCGGGCGCCAATCGTTATCAGCCGATAATAGCTTTATACTAGGGGTGCAGTGCACGATTCAGAAAATGTCACGATTCAATACCGATTTTTTGTCTCAAGATTCGATTCAAAATCCGATTCGCAGTATATAAATGTAGTTTACTTTTTCCTATGTGATTGATTGCAGTAGACACAATTTAAAAGAAAAAAAAACACAACAAATTAAATGTAGTTTGATATTACTTTATATGTTTTCATACAAAAATAAAAACTTTTGCAACTAAAAAGTGCAAAGTGCCAAGCTTTGGCCAGCTTTCAAATACATTTAATTCAAGTTTAAAATAAAACTTAAAGGCACACTGTGGAACTTTTCAACCTTTATAATATATTACCAAAACCCATTGAGATGGTACATCGACTTACAATAGGTTGAATGACACGTCTGCCGAAGCCTGAAGGTGTCTGTATCGCTTTTACTAGCACTATGTAACTTCGGGTTTCGGGTAGGAACCCGAGCACAAAAAGAACTACAAAATTCGACCGCTTTACGGCATACGTCACTTCCCCCACCACCCCAACTTCCTCAAATTCTAACGTGAGAGCTCAACCTGAGCTCAACTCGCGTTTGATTGCCGGCGTCTGTATGTTGTCGTCATGGCTGAATCAACAGCTACTCGGAAGAAAGCAAAGATTTTGTCAGAGGAGACCAAAAAAAGAAAAAGGGAGAGTTTAAAATAAACATCGGCATAAAAGTGTATATAATGTAATATTTACTGCGAATTCGTGTAACAAAACTGATATAAGTCACAACATACTGCCGTATACAAATGTAAATGTTTTTTTTTTTTCTTTCAGCTCATATGTTTGTATTTGTGTAAAAGGAAAAACAAACTGAAGACTACAAATAACGGAAATATGTAGTGAGTTATATCAGTTTTGTTACACGATTTCCCGACTACTCGATTTCATCTCCAACCCATTGCAAAGAGATCCTGAAGACGTTAATTGTTTGCTTCAGGTGTGTTTGATTATGGTTGGAGATGAACTGTGCAGGACAGACGATCGGCAGGAGCAGGATTGGGCAACCCTTGTCAATGCGACTTACCTGATCAGACATTGTTTTCTGCGTATGCTACTTTTATTCAATTTGTTTTCTGTATAGGATTTATATTATTAATCTTATATTTATATTAATATTTTGGTCAGTAGTGAATCGATTAACTTTCTCCAACATACAAATCAAATGCCGTCTGCACACACATACAGACACGGGAGGTTGACCGGTTGACTGTTTGTTGACTTTTGCGACAATGCTGCGGCGCTTGTGGCCTCTAGGGGCACTAGACGTGAAAATTACAGGTCGAGCGCACCCTAGTGGCCAAAAGTTCCACAGTGTGCCTTTAAATAAAAAGCTTTTACATTTAGCTTTAAAGTGCTGTAGTCAGATCAAACAATTATGCTAAATGTGGTTTAAGGACTACTTCAGCTACCAGGCTAACTGTTGAAATGTGAACTCGACTGGGCACATTGAACTTCCTAAAAATATATACTAATGTCATAGAACCCTTGCGAAATTATTTTAAATAGATTTTAAAAAGCCACTGGTACTGGTAACATCTATGGTTAGATTGATTTGTTTAGATACAGTGAAGTCGTTCATAGGCGTAATTTGCGGGTATCTCCAGTTAACTAGCAGAGCATTCATTTAGTTTGCTATTAAATAAGAGATCTGTTCTTTTTGAAATCAAGCTGAGCGCTCGTTTTCCGCTGCTATCAGTGTCATGGATACAGTGTTCTCTGTGGCTCGCACAGTCTTCACTCGGACACGCGCTTCAATCTATCGTCGTTGTGGAGACTCCGGTGAAATCACAAAATAAAATGCACACAAACGTGATGAACATATTGGGTTTTGATGAGAGAGAGAAAAAAACTATACGAGTGCGGTTTAGAGCCCGTAACCTCTGACACGCTTGGCAAAAGATCTACAGAACTCAAACATAAGATCTGCGGATCGATGCATTTATTTACGGGTTGAGCAGAGAGGCAGCAGTTTGACCAGCGGCGGCAAGAACTTGCAATGTAACTATTTATCAGACCGGCCCTCGCAGCCTTGAAACACTACCGGACCACCGGTAAAAGTCCCGACTCACCCGATTGCCACTCCGCCCGTGCACGCCATAAAAAAAAAAAATATGAATCGATTTTTGGAATTCTATGAATCGATTCTGAATCGGTAAAGATTGAATCGCGATTCAAATGTGAATCGATTTTTTTGCACACCCCTACTTTATACATTTTGATCTGTGGTCTCTATAAAGGCTGATCAGATGACGCAAAAAATGGCGAGACAATTTTTCTATGCACAGCTGAAATTATTAATAATCGTTTCACTTCAGTCTGGCAGCTCTACCAGATGTCTGAAAAGGACAATAAATTTGCAATGTCTTTGCGGAGAGCAGAATGTTGATAAAGTCAGATCTGTTTTTTATTTGTATTATTTATTTCACAGTAATGCTATATTTGTTAAGCTCTAAGCTGTTCCTACTCACCTCTAAGAGAGGGAATGAAATATGTTGCTTTCCAATAATTAAAGAGTTGTCAATTCACGATACTTTCTCATCTCTTAAATTTTTTTTATTCTTAAAATACATTATTGTAAAGAATAGTACTATTTATTTTGGCGTTCGGTATCGGCCAACACAGCTTCCACTGATCGGTAACCGGCCCCAAAAATCCTGATCGGAGCGCCCTTATCTTTACCCCACAAAAACATCTAAACCCAATACTCACACAAGCCAGTCCACAGCCAAGATGAGTGACAGATCGTTGGTGGGCAGCCCCACTGATTCTAAAATAATGGCCAGCGTCAGCACCCCTCCTGCAGGGATCCCAGCGGCTCCCACACTAGACGCCGTCGCAGTCACGCTATAAAGGAAATAACAGTTAGTCTACAAAATCAACATCTGCCAATCAAGGTACGGAGGTGACTAAAAGACATCCAATGAACTCACAGGATGGTGATGACCTGGACGAAGTTCAGCGGGATTCCGTTCAGCTGAGCGATGAACACCGCAGCTACACACTGGAATAAGGCGGCTCCGTCCATGTTGACGGTGGCTCCGATGGGCAGGATGAAGCGGCTGATGTGCTTAGACACACCGTTGTTCTCCTCCACACATTTCATCATTAGGGGCAACGTGGCGGAGCTGATCAGAAAAGCTGATGGTTATTTTCTGCTTAATTATGCATATGCAATACTCATTTAATAAATCTAATCAAAACAAGGCGAGTAATCAAAATTAAATATGGTGTAATAAAACATATACAATACTCTAATAGGCTAGGAATCTGATCACAGGAGACAGCTGAGGTGCATGATACTTCCACTTGTGTTTGGATCCAAGACGGATGTAAATACCAGGGTTTTTTTTATACAGACCTAAACTTAACATTTAAAATAGACGTTCCAAAAGGACGCTTTAGTAGCGATGCCATATTTGTTGAATTTAAATGTATATTGTTGAATTGAATTGTATTGACAACAACACATACTCTTTCTATAACTGCATCCATCTGCTATCAATGGCTGAAGCCTCTGTTAATAGCTCTAAAATGACGCTTTGGAATTAGCAACGGAGGCTTGGGGTGAGATGTATAAGAAATTAGTCCTACACACAAGAGTAGTTTAAGGACAAAAACCTGAGAAATGTCTTGAAATACATCATCTTAATGTTTTGAGGTGTGGTAACCGTAGTATAAGAGAAATAATTGACTTATTGCCACTTGGTGGCAATAAGTAAGGAATAATTGACTCGGGACAGTTAAATTATTCGAAATAATAATCCACACCCACGGTGTAAGTCCACCCCGAGTCAATTATTCCTTACTTATTACCATATCAGCTTCACAGGTTTGTACATAGCAGATAGGCTATAGATTCAACATTGATCAAACAATTCAATAAATAAGCATTTTAATAAAATTAAATTCAGATAAAAGAAATCTATTGTATGTACAATTCTAAGTTTGTCCTGATAAAAGCCGTCGTCTCATGACATTAAAAATTGGGCAAACCAAAAACATACACTTTATAGACCAGTTAACCTTTAAAGAGAAGTTTACCCAAAAAATGTAAATCCATTTACTGAAAATTCATAATACTAGTAGTAGTAATAATCTGGTGGATTTTGAAAAGCAGCTTGAGACTGGATTTAGATTTTTGTACTGTAAAGGAATACCAATGCTTTATGTTTAATAAAAATATTATAATAACAATAATAATAATCGCATGAATATTTAAATCTGTTGCATTACGCATATAGTTTAAGACTGGATTTAGATTTTTGTACTGTAAAGGAATACCAATGCTTTATGTTTAATAAAAATATAATAATAATCACATGAATATTTAAATCTGTTGCATTACGCATATAGTTTAAGACTGGATTTAGATTTTTTTTAAATGTACTGTAAGGAAATACTGATTTTTTTTTTAAACTATTACATTTGTGACACTTTTTGGTAACTTTATAATGTAATAATTTCTCAATGTAAAAATAATTACATTATGAGCTTCAGATTTTATTACATTTTGAGAAGTTTTACATTATGAACATTTTTTTTACATTAATAATGTAATGCCTATTAGATTATGTGCAGTTATTAAATTATGAGTCCCTCACCCTAACCAGACTGGCAGACTTACGTCACTTCTAAATTCGTACTGGCGGTGCGAATGCAGCCAGGAAAATTATCCTAAGGGAACATTTAGTTTTCAGGGGCCTGCCCTGATGGCTAGTTCCTACAACTGAGTTCCTTTAACTGCTCGATGCAAAAGCCCATATAGATGCCAATAAGACCCTTTATTTTGAAGAGTGTAAGTAGCTGCTGTTCATTTACCTAGAGGAGGTTCCAAAGGCAGTAGCCAAAGCGGTGACCAATCCCAGCAAGAAAGTGTAGGGGTTCTTCCGTGTAATCACAAAGTAAATGAGCGGGAGGACGAGGAGACCGTGGATGGCATGGCCAACGACGCAGCATGCAATGTACTTCCCGAGGCTGGCGAACAGCATGGCAACATCCTCCATTTCCACAATCTTAGCGGCAACCAGGAACATGATACCCAGTGGTGCATACCTTCAGACAGGAAGACATCGAGATATGGTTTGACAGAAGTAAAGAGATGAATGGGTAGGACACCGTGATCCACAAATTGGGAACAAACATCAACGACAAAAAAAAAAAGTACATGATGTTCCCTCACCACATGATCCAGGAGACCAACACCATGGTGGCCTCGTTGAAAGAGTTGAAGAACTTAATAAGGATCTCTCCTTCCTCTCCAAGTTTCCTCAAGGCCACCCCAAATACCATAGCAAACACGATGAGACCCAGGATGTTCATGCCATCCACATCTGTGCCAACTGGAACCTAAACAAAAAGACACAAATGACTGAATTTAAAGAAAAAAGGGGGGAAAAAAAGATTTTTTTAAATGACATTCAACCACTAATATTTAAATGTTTTAATACATTTCTAGAATATCTAGATTTTTTTTATCTAGAATAAATATTATATTGATTTTTATTTATATATAAAAAAAATCTATGCATTTATAGAATACATTTTTTTAAACATTAAATATTTTTATATTAGATATATTTGTATAAATATATAAATGGAGTTTCAAGGCAATCCTACGGTAAATCTGGGACTTGGTACCTTTTCCAAGGAGAAGATGGTCGAGTTGGTTTCATTCTTTACAATCCTGTAACCCGTGGCATACTGTGAAGAAGAAACGTTCAGAATCATCTAATAATCACACGTCACGTAAAACACATCTTCTTTTTTTCATGTTAAAGCAAATCTTGTTAAACCTACCGACTGAAAGGCAGCTGATACCAGGTTAGATGGGAAGATATTTCTGAAAGGAGGAGAAAGGTAGAAATTATATAAATGACATACTTTAAAATCAGATATCAATGAATCAGCCAATTAAATCAAACAAATCCTAACTAGTTAATGTCAGATGTTGACATTTTCATATCTCGCATTGACTAAAACAAAAATTATACTTCAGTTTAAGCGTTTACTAGGTATACCTGACACGTGACAAATGTTGTCATCAGCATAGTACTGTACGCACATGCGCCTTGAATTTATTTGCACTAATGAGCATTTGTGTAAGTGGATTTAAATGAGTACAAAGACATTTTCCTCTCATATCTTCTGAAAAGAAACAGCGCAGACATTAGACAAAGAAGCAGCCTAACTTTCAAGTGCATTTGCGTTGAATGCATGTGTTCGCACAAGTTATCCAATAGTGTTGTCACGTAACTGGAATTTTCAACTTCGATACAATACCTTGAAAAATATCAATCTATTTTCGATACTACAGGGAAAACTGCCATATTTACCGCCGGCAGTACTCGGGTAAGAAATACTACAGAAATTAATCAAATGTGAAATATCACGATAGTTTTCATTGTAAAAATTAAATACAGATTAATGCTTACAATTAAAGTTACAACAGTTACTCAGTCAAGAGCAGCGAGTGATTTTCTCCTTGTATTGTGCAGCATGTTTATTAAACTATTGTCACTATAAGAGCTTATGCACGGATCCGATATACTGTTACACAACATGCGTTTCCTCGCAACTATTTACGTACCAAAACTGAAGACTGGCAATTTGACATAATTTGTGTTTTCGACCATTAAAGTGCAATAAGCCACAAAAAAAAGTCAATTTGGCGGGCTGTTTGAGAGGTGGCTTTATGTGCACACAGAGCGCCGCTTGTATAGGTTAGTGGTGCACACACTTTTAGTGTGAACGCAAAACCTGCGGGAATTAGTAAAATGATGCGCAAAACAAGCACCATTCCACCGGAGCGAATGAGAAGCATGAGTGAGAGGATGCGGGTGTGAGTCAATTCGCCATTGGAGAGAAGTGTATTGGTGTATCGATACTGCAGAAAAGGAGTATTGGAATCATTTCAGAATCGGTACATATCGAAATAGCGATATTTTTGACAACCCAACTATCAAATGGAGTATATTTGAAAGGCTATGCATTCGGCTGTATGTATAAGCCAAGCATTCACATCAAAACTGAAGTACACTTTGGACATTAGCAAACACTATTCAGAACAAGGTAGTGAGAGAACAAATATCCAATTCAAGCCACAGTTTCAGCCCACCAGCAATAAAAATCCTCACAGACCTGACCAGCCAATCTCTGAGCGGGCTGATGTGGAAATAACTTGGAGAATTTAGTCTGATTATATCCCTCAACTAATCCCAATTCCACACATTACCTCCTACCCCTATAACCCTATTCCCTCTAAAGGAGAAGAACTAGATGAGCACTAGGACCTGCCTGGAGACGGGGATTAATGACAAACACAGACATTCAGGAACATTCCGGCATCCCTGACCTTAATATGGTCTGTGTGCGTACAAAAAAAAGGAAGTCTTCAATCGGATGGAACAATAATGACTGGTATGAGGTTAACATGCCACTTTTTGCCCAAGCGAAAAAAAAAGAAAAAAAAACGTTACATTTCCAAGAAAGGCAAGTAAAAAGCGTCGTTATAGACTTTATTCTGAACACGTCTGGAATCTGTTGCCCATAGGGACCTTAATAAATCGCAATCATTCTCACTAACACCTAAAGAAGCCTGGAAGGTTAAAAAGAAAACCTACTCACCCTCTTATTTTATCGCTTTGAGTTATTAAGACTAGCTGAGCTAAATGAATATCATAATGCCTGTCTTATGTTTCAAATTGTTAATAGTCTGAACTCTAGATTGAGTGGTCTTGTTCCTATCTCTAGCCCCCAGCACATATACCAAACGAGAACCAAACCACTCATATCTGGAAAATATCGCCGACATGTTCGTCCCAGTATGAGTGTTGTCTGTAGGGGGCCGCAGATTTGGAACGGGATTGATGATGGCCTTAAGGTGTTGCCCTTTATCTCCAACTTTAAAAGACAACTAAAAAAATATTATCTATCAACCTATATTTAACATATTTAAATGTCTTGTCATGGACTACTGGGATGTATGTGTATGATTGTATGTGTATGTACTTTTATGTATGTACTGGTGCGCTTTGCGTGCTTTCCGTTCTTTTACCATTGTCTGGTTGCAGGTAGTAACTGTGTACTTTGTCTGTACCACTTATTTTTCATAAACTATGGGCCCCCACCCATAAGCTTTTATTAGCTTCTTTGGGGGACCCATTCACTATACCAAATTCTGATTCTGTACCCCCGCTGTATTATAGAATTTGATGGTAATGGTATTTGTGAATAAACTCTGATCATCATTGTGGTGATCATTCATGTTTGTATGTAAGGTGTGAGGATACGAGCGTTATCGTAAAATAGTACAGCTGAAGCAAGATGAGACTGGAAAACCGAGAGAAAAACAACTGTAGGCTGTATCCCAGACAGCAGGTCGCTGCCATACATCTATGCCAGGGGTCGTTCCCACCTCAAATTTCCCTTGTGTGAACATTCGAAAGAAAGTTAGAACTTAAGATAAATGCAAAACTTTTTATGAAACCCAAACCAGGAGGAACCTACACTGGTAACACCAGTTTACGCCATTGAAACATTTGATGATGACGCACTCAAATGTGTCACAGGTTTTCAAAGCTTTTTAGGGATCATTTACAACTACTACCAATACCATGCAATGACAAATATGTCAACAACTTAATGACCGTAAGGCGTGATGGAAGTTTCTATACAGGCGTGTAAAAAGGGAGACACGTCAAACAGGACCTTGTTGAAACGTGGCACTCAACACACCTTGACAAAAATTTTATCAAAGATTTATCTCAAGTCCAGTGTTTGCTTACATATTAAAAGTATCTATTAACAGATACATATAACTATACTCTAACTTTGTCCAGTCTAAAAAAAACTCAGTTTACACAAAAAAGGCCAGGTTGTGCGGGGGGTGGATCTCACATGCACTGTACATAAAACACACACTAATGGATTAAAAGAACAAATCACCCAGAAATGAATCATTTACTAACCATCATGACATTCCATGACGCATTTGACTTGCTTTCTTCAGTAGAACCGAATGTTCAAGCTGCTTTTTTCCATACCTTGAAAGTGAATGGTGATCATAGCTGTCAAGATTACTTCAATTTCAGTCTGTTTGGCACATAAACCAAACAATATGGCTTGAAAAGATGTAGCCTAGCGCAGGAGTTGTCTAGATCACTATTATGGTGGTTTTTGGCCCTTTTTCACGCTTAACAGCTCATTCGCTGGAAAAGAGCAGGGTGAACATTTTTCAAAACTTCTTTTGTGTTCCACAAAGAAAGAAGGTCACAGGTTTGCAACATCAAGACTCACTTAACCTTTAAGATAAACTATATCTTTTGCGTAATACGGTGGAATGAGGTCTTGTTCCACGTGTTGTTGTTGTCAGGGTCTTGCCTTAGACAAGCTGATAAGGCAACACAACTACAGATAACAGCTGAAACAACTTACAAAAACAGATGCCAGAACGTGCTGTTTGTAAACTTTCAATAGAAAGACAGGGTGCATGTAAGAGTGTGAAATCAGCAGGGTCCACGCCACAGTGGTCCTTGTGCTTGTATGGCAGGACTTATTCACAGTGAAACTCCAAGAGAGAAGGGACCGATGGATGACATGAGCTACATCAGCTGCCTAATTTAACACTACTTCTGTTGTCCATGTTTGCACATGTGTGTGTGTGTGTGTGTGTGGCCCTCATGTGGCAAGCATACGCCATCTACGAGACACAGGAGCAACACATACGTTTCAGTTTGGCTTTAAATTAGGAATCCCAACACAAATAGACTGAAACCTTTTTCTTTTGAATGATAACTTATGTATTCTGAGGAATTGGTCCAAGTATGAAACAAGAAAATGCATGATGAGGAAGCACATGAGGACTAAAATAGGTGTCTGTTATGGTAAAAAAAAAGAAAGAAACAAAAAGTGACCTTTAGATTTAGAAGTTATTAAACTGCATTAACCTAAAGCAGCCTCAATGCTGTTATAACAGGCTTTGGCTTTTTAGCTCCTTTGGTCATGTGGGAATGAATAAACGACTGTTAGCAATCGAAACCCGGCCTCAACAATTATCAACAATTATTCCTTTCCCAGTCTTGAAACCGGAATCAATGGCAATGAGATGCGGAGAAAGAACCACTGCATCTCTGTTAAGGTGACCGGATGTTTAAAACAATATTTTATACCTCATTTAAATGGTTTTCATCTATTACCTAAATGGGGACCTAAAAAAAGATTAGGTATTGAGTTGAAATGGCTGTGTGATATTTATAAATAAATAAAAGCAAAAGGTATACAGTACAACATTTCATCTCACTTTGTGGCCGACTGACATTTCCAAGGACAGTCCACCAAAAACAGGAAAACCCTGTTTCTCTCGGGTCAGGTCACCCTAATTTGTGTCAGTGTAAATATTTACATTTTGTAAATATTCTAATGAACATGCTTGTCTGGTGAAATTTATAGAAAATGTATAAACGGTTTACAAAAATGTATTTGTTGTTGTTGTTTTTGTAGGTAAAATAAGAACACAGTGTCCTCTTCACATCTCTCTACAACACATGATGAAATTTGACCTGTTTACAAGACAGCAGGGCCAACCCAAAAAACCCACCCATAGTCGTTTTTTTATGCGTTTCTTATGGAGTGCAAGAGATGTTTGCCTCTGTTCAAAGAATAAATATTTTCATTAGAATGTCTATTAATTTTAATAACTACGTGCCTATTATGTCCATGCACCGCTGAAGGAAAAAATAATAATTTGTGCATTTATTTATATAATGAGTGGCGGAACCCACACCAAGAAAAGGGAAGGCTAAAGTGGCACATCTATAAACTCTGACCATCAACCTGCATCCTCTTCAGAGCGGATTATGCGCCAACACGCGCGCGCGCGCAGCTGATGCAACTCGAGCGTCTGTTTACAGCACATGCAGATCAACGTCACGCAACCCACGCTATATAGAGTCAAAACAATGTCACTGAATGAATTTACGATAGTCGATGAAAAAATAAGTAGCGTTAATAATAAAAAAAAGGTTAATTTTAAAAACATAAACTTAAGGCGGCTCATGAGCAGTAATTACTTTTTCCCCATACATGTCGCCAGTCGGTGAATGCTCCGATTCACTTTATGTTGGCAATAACAGTAGTTTTTTTTAATAGATGTTGTACAATTGTTTTACTCTAGTAACAGTCACAAATGTTTCAACCCTTTCTTGTTCTTGGCATAGTTACTTAATGTGTTCTTTCCTCTTCCTGTTTGGCAAAGCTACGCTGGCAGATGAATGGGGAGTTCGAATAATTTCCGCGAATCGGTTCTTTCGAACGGTTGGCTTATAAAGGTACTAACATTCAGTTCTTCTTGCGTCATGTGGTCGCATTATGTGGACGGTTGAGCATTATTTTAATAGTGGTGTTTATTTTCTACCCCAGCTCAAAATGTGTTTGCACTTGAATGAAAAAATGCTTTTAATGCCAACTTTGTTTTATGCGTGTTGATACAATGCCTGTATTACGATTGTGTTCATTTCTGCTATTCAATTCAGTTCTACTCGTGAACGAAATGCTCAGACCGTTCAAACGTGGAAAAGGACCATTCAATCATTGAAAAGATCCGACTCAAAAGAAGGCTGCCTTTACGTCATAATTCATTAGTTTAAAGCTAATTAAACAACATGAAACAGTGTGGGTTTAATTCTGAATCAAAAACGCGAAATGTGTGAACACGTGGCGTAAATTTGCGGAAAATTTTACAAAGCTTGACGTCAGGTTGTTGACTCACCTTATCAAGTCTAAAAACGAATCGATGACTTCTTTGGCTTCGGGAACACCGCTGTCATCCAGTGAGTTGAGGGATAGTTTTTTCCCGTCATTGGCACCAGGCTGTATAATGAACGCCATAATAACGCCGATAGTAGACGCGATCAGAGTGGTCACCAGGAAGAAGAGCATCGCCCAGCCGCCCAACTTGCCCAGGGCTTTGGGGTCAATGCTGGCAGCCCCGGACACCAGACTACAGACCACCAGAGGAATAATGATCATTTTGAGCAGGCGGATGAGCAGCTCACCGGGGAACCCGAAGTAAATGATCTGAGTGCGGCTCAACCCGGCGCTGCGCACGCCGAGCCCGATGAACACGCCGATGATGACCGCTGACACCGTCAGGATGACCAGCAGATTGGCCATGGCGATCCGTTTGAGCTTCTGCCCGGTGGTCTCCGGCGCGCTCGTCTTGTGGTCACTCAAGCCATTGGCGACGCCGGTCGGGTCGGCTATGTGCGCTTCACCGTTGGACGTCTTTACAACGTCTATGGAGATCTTTTCTTCCGTCATTGTGCTGTCTGAAGGTCTCCTGGTGTCCGGAGAGTGAATGTTAAAGCGCTAGGAGTCTTTGGTGTGAGCTGATTGTCTCTGCTCTCTCCTCATGTGCTGCTGGCAGCGTGGAAGTGAATAAGCGTAAAGAAGACGCGCGTTGGTGGAGGAAGTTACAAGACAACGTCATAGGGCGGGGGCGGGGCGTTCATGCAAATGTGCTGAAAAAATACTTATCTAATATCCTCTTGAGAGTGAGGTTTAGAAATTTAGATATACAGCAGGTCTTGTTGATGAATAGCCTATATCATGTAAAAGTGTATATAATAGGCTATACAAGTGGCCTTAAGTGTATGAATGCCATTAAATAACTATAGTATCAAACAAATATCAATGTCAGACCAAGTGGTATTTAAAAAAAAAAGTAATCAATACAAAAATTTACAAAGCAGTTTGATTGGTTTACAATTATAAAACAGAAGATATAATAGAAAGATTATATAAGAGTACTCTACAAACAAACAAAAAATACATACATCTTCTAAAAGTTAGTTGGATAAAAAGTATTTGGAAAAAACATTCTAATAATAGTTCTGACATTATTTAATTGCAATTTTTTTAAAAGGAATCTCTCTCTGAGAAAAGGTCTATAATTTGCTTGCAGAAGTCATGGATTTCATATTTAATGACATTCAGACATTTTTTTGTGTGGCTTAAGTTTATTATATGTAACAAACTCATCAATTTATTATGTTTAGTTGGTGTTATTTGAACATTGTGATTGTGGGGTATTTCTGTCTGTCTTATCCATAACACAGCAAATGAGCTCATAGAAAATTAGTCACAAAATGACATAAAAGTTTTCACATTGAACATGTGTACTATAAAACATGTACCACTATAAAAATTAATACGAGAAATAGTAACACTCGGGGTATATTTAAAGGACAACGATATACTAAAAACGGAAAAGTTTTTCCTTCACGTTTGTATCTGCGAAAACAATTAAAAACGCTGTATTCCGCTGCCTGGCCAGTAGGTGGCGATGTCACTTTGTAAAGAAACACTATGCGCCTATAGACTGAACACGTACGCATGAGCCTGATGTCACCGTTTTCACAAATTCAAGTTTTTGTAGTTTACATGGAGACGATAAGGATAGTTTTAAAAAAAATTGCACTTTGAAATCCGTTGTCATTTAAATGAACGTCCGAAAAGCTTAAAAAGTTTAAATTTTTTAGTTAAAAATGGTGTCAGTAACCTGAAGGAACAAAAGTTCCGCCTTGTTTATAAAGTTTTTTTATTTCACTTTTATTTAAACATCCATGTACAACTGGACCAGTATAAAAAAATACAGTTTTTAGTGTGATTTGAGGAAAAGAAGTAATTTAAGATACTATTTTTGTCTGATTGTTTGACGATTGAATTATAGGCTACTCGACACAGTTTGGGATATTCCAACACAATCTCACAGGAAAACGCAACAATTTAACGAGGTAGCGATTTATGAATATGTATGATGTGAATCGGAAAAAAAAACATGATTTAACCAAGTAACTTGCCCTACATGGATACTGGCTGAAAACTAGAATACTATTACTATTCCTTATGCTTTATCTGGGAGTATAGTATCCTGTGTCCCATTCCAAATTCAGTCTTTGAGTCATCCCTGACCTAAAAAATAAAAAACCTGACCCAACCATCACTTCATTGCCAAGAAATATGTTTGCAGAGCAGAAAAAACAACATCTCATTTTTAGCAGAAACCTGGTCTTCGTTCATGTCCTCACCCAGCAAGTAATCAAATACGCTGAAGACTGAGGTCTCCGTATGGAGCCAGAGTCATTCCAGTCAGATTATCCTTAATAAACAAAACCCCTCATTTTCTTTAAACAGGTTTTTTTGTCCGGTGCAGTGTTTTATGGGAAGAGCTTGTATGTTAAAAAGAGCAGTCTACACTCTATAAACAGTGCTGGCGCACTCATCGGGGTCCCTTTTTGAAACCTAAGGGTCTGCTTATATAAGGTTCATCTTCTCTGTATTAGACTGTGTGAACTTCACAGAAGCACGACATTCCATAGATATTGAGAGATTTGAGTGCCTGGGATCCGTACGGCGAGAGAGCATGATGGGTCGAGGGAGGCAGGGGGCCTCCTTTCTCAAAACAGCGTTCGCTCACACACTGGGTCTCTACACTGTGCGTGTCACAGACGCCACGACCTCGATGCCCTTGAATAAACTTCACTGCCCTGCCTGGCTCCATATACTGTCCTCCTTCACTGACACTGCAGTTCGAAAGCTGTGGAAGGCTTTATTTATATCATTGCCATCTCATTTTATTGTAGGCTACTGCTTTGAATGTTGCCGAGTCATTTTACAACTGCAGTGTCATTTTCATCTGATTTGCTGATTTATCTATTCATATCTAAACATAGATATATGAATATATAAGATGTGATTTGTGAAAACACAAAGTATTATGTGTTGGTGCATGTCAGTTGGCTGTACTTTAGTGCTGTTACAGTGCTGGCAAAACAAAGAAAACAGGGTAAAACGACCTGAGAGTCACATGACCTTTTACAAAGAGGAAGAAAGGCTCGATACAATCCTGCAGGTTTTCATGTCATGGGAAAGCAAGTCCAGGCACAGAGTTTGTGAATTAAAGCACCTGAATGGCATCAGCGGAGAAACCAGATATTGTAAGTTTATCTCGAAAACCTGGCACTCTTCTTCATTCTCCTCGGCCGCTGTATTTAACACAGAGACTGCATTGTTCAGAAAAGTACAAGATAGCAAGAAAAACAGGCGTAGACCAACGAGAAGAGGGTTTCAGAAGGTTGTATACGAATATGTGCGGCAACATGTTTCCCTAGACAGCGTGTGTTGAATGCAGTCGTCGGGTTGATGAGTTCAAGATTCCCAAACGACACATGCTTAAAATAGAAAGTTTCTCTGAACTGGTTGTACTATGTATACGTGAACATACTGTGTGTTTTGGATAAACCATCTTAAATGAATAATTGTACATGCAAATCTATGCATCTGTGTAAAGGCTATTCATGTAGCTGAAGGCAAACACTGTAAAATGCTGAGTCACCCTTACTGAGCTGAATCACTGGATATCTGATCTATTATTTTTAATAGCCGGCACTGAAATGATGGAATGCAGCTTATTACAGAATAATGGTTAATTGTAAGATCAGTTTAGATGCTTTTCAACACATTAAAGCAAATGTGCTTGTCAGGTCATGCTAAAGATCCATCCAACGGTGCCTTTGTTTCTTGGAGGCAGTTCAGAGAGCTGAAACAGACGTGCTGAGATAGCCTACATAACTAAAACAGCCGAGTCATGATATGTAAGCGAGGCGTGTTAATCACAAAGCCGAGATTTGCTGTATGGAATATATACTTTTATTATTTATTTAGACAATTTAATCAAATCCAAACCTAAAAGATTCATTTGTGAATGAATCATTTAGACCAGTGTTGTGAAGTGGATCAACGATTCATTGAAAAGATCCAACACAAAATAATAGTTGCTCTCATGAATATGCCAAGGAAAGCAAAGAGTTCAAGATGTTCGCTGAATAACCACTTAAAGTAGCCTGGTTAAAACCAGACCATTCTCAGTTGTAACTGAGTTATGGTCTGGCAAAGCGTCATAGACAAATCATTTCCAGAGGGGCGTCACCAACGGACGTCGCGGATAGACCTAAACCCAATCAGAGCGATGAAGGAGATGACGTATGCAGAGCGGCAGAGAAACATCTCCGAGTGTTGTCCTTTGCTCGGTTTTTAACAAAAAGGAAACGTTCAAATGGCTTAAAACAGACGCGATAGCTGATTCGAACGAGTGATGTTCGACGGCGGCATCCATCTTTGTAATGTAGGCTACAAAATCTGCTTCAAAAACCCAGCGCTGACGTCATCATGTAAAGCCCGCCCCAACGTTTCTGATTGGTGCGGCGATTTCGACGGATTGGAAATGGGCTTGAATGAGCTCTTTGCCAGACTAACTTTCAGAGCAAATCTAAATTTGCCGAAGTTGTCTGGGTTTTCCCAGGCTACACTTAAAGGGATGTTCACCCCAAAATTAAAATTCTGTCATCATTTACTCACCTTCAAGTTGTTCCAAACCTATGAATTTCTTTCTTCTGTTGAACACAAAAGAAGGTATTTTGAAGAATGTCGGTAACCAAACAGTTGATGCGGGGGAAGTCAATGAGGTCCTATCAACCGTCCGGGTTTCCTCACTTTTTTTTAAGTTAAGTCAACTGATCCCTATATGATTATCACCATTATGCCACAAATGCTGTTGATTGAGCTTAACTTTTGTATTGTATTGAGATACATATCAGAAACAGAATATTCCTCTAAATTTTAATCTGTTCCACACATAAAACTACAGTATTATATGACCATATAAATGTATATCGCACAGTTGGACCACTTTTATGTTGCTTTTGCATCATTTAAATGCAAAAGAGTGAACAGTACATTATTCAAAATCTTTACAGGAAAAAAAAAAGAAACAGTCAAACAGGTTTGGAATGAGAATGTTCCATTTTGGAGTGAACTAATCCTATAATGATTCTCGACAGGTTCATACACACCACTGTGCAATCCATGAATGTAGGCAAATGTAGGGCTGTTTGATTTTTGATTTAGGACAGCTTCACTTGGCAAATGACCCACATGAGAGGTGCTGCAGTCCCCTAAATCTGGTTTAATCTCGCCTGAGCCGCACTTGCACAGCACGCCTACTTAATGGCCGACAAATTTACACACTGTAACCCGACTCCCTCCCTCCCCAGTCTGCCTGAGTATGTTCTTCACTTCTACATTACACATGTGTGACTAAAATTAAAACTCTGAGTTTGATGAAATGCTTCTGCATAATGCACAGCTAAAGTAACAGTTCAGATGGAAATTTTAATTCTGTCATAAATTACTTCATAAATGTTGATCAAGGACTGTCAAGTTGCAAAAATAGCTCACTAAAGCATACTAAAAGTGGTCCATATAACTTGTGCACTGAATTCCAAGTCTCAGCTTTGTGCAAGACCTAAAGGGGGAAAAAATAAAACCATATAAGGTTTGTTTCATGTTGTTTTGATTTTCTGTCCTCTCCTG